GCCCGCGCCCCCCCAACCATACGCTCTCCCCGCGAATGGCACGCGAACGCCTCCCCGTGGCTGCGCCACGACGTCCATCGGAACGGGGGACAATCGAACGGGGCCGCCGATCGGGTTCAACTTGGTTTATTCAGCTTTAGTCGGCACTAACCGCAGGAGAATACTCGATGAGTCCCCGTGCCCTCCTGCCGTCCCATTAAACGCCGAGATTTTAATTACGGCAGCTGGCGCATTTTGTTCCCAACCGCTCGATAATTTAGCCCGAGCGTGGCCTGTCACGTTCTGCTTCCGCGTAATTCTTGTTCAGCCGGTGTACTTGGCTTTCAGGGCACTTGGACACGATGATTACGTTCCTTGTGGATTTTATGTAAGCGAGATGACTTGATAAATTGCAGGTGCTCTATGTCTATGATTTTAAATCTCACTCAATGTCTTGGATTCCCAATGCGAAACAGTGCCAATGCTATACTAATAAGAATTTTTAAGGAAACTGTTTTTTTAACATTAAATTTGACCTTTTGCATTGGTGTATGAAAGTCATTAATTGCTTGCATAGCCATTAGAGGTGTAAAATTGTCGTTGCAGTGACTAGATGAATTAGAAAGGTTGAGAAAAAATACTTGAAAATTTCTAGCAGTAAGCGTACAAAATCAAGCTTATTTAATTTACGACGAGAATTGTACAAACATTATTCATGCGTCTTTTTATAATTTTTTATACAGATGATGAGTATGTAGATGAATACCTATGGTATTTGTTCGAATGTATAATTGTTTGATAGTAAATTACCGCATAAGTAAGTTGATATTGTGGGTGAAGCGTAATGACCCGATGAAATACAATTTTTCAATATTTATTAATTTATTTTTAAACATATACAATGTTTAGTGATGAAGAAGCGGCGAATGTTAATTATATAATAGCATTTCTCAAGCGCTTTGTATGAAAAATACAAATGATCAGCCCCTGGTATTATACAACACGATATACTCTTTAATGATGGGGATTGCATACGCATTAGGGGCTCCGCAAATGCTACAGACACATTTTTTCTTGTTATTTCTTACATTTTCTATCATTAAAATTATTTTCATAGCTGATATTGTGTGCTGTTATGTTTTATATAATATGTTTTATATAAACCACTATCATTATTATCATTATTATTATTATTATTATTATTATTATTGTCATTGTTATTATTATTATTGTCATTGTTATTGTTATTGTTATTAGTGTTTTGAAACATTAGTATTCAAATTCTAATAAACTTTTATAATAGAGTAATTACGCAAGAGAGCGAGTTTCATTTAGTTGCGAGTAGAAGAAATCTTTTGTGAATAATTATCCGATAAACCGAGAGCAGTTTTAAATTGGAGGTAATTAAATAGCTTAGGCCATTATGCCGGTTAGAAACTGGGATTTTAATAGTAACCGCAACGTAATAATAGTGTGCTCGGTGCAAATGACGATATGCTTACATTACGGAGCGACACTCCTGTCACGGCCATGGCACATTATTAAGAAATATTACAACATTAGAAAAACCACTGGGGACACTTGACATCCTATACCATTAAAAGTTTTGCTTTTAAATGGATTCATTGTTTTTGCTTTGTTGTTGTTGTTGTTGTTGTTGTTGTTGTTTTATTTTATTTTATTATTTTTTTTTCTTTGTTTTTCTGAAATTGCCTAGCGCATCAGAAACATTGTGAGCAAACGTTGTGTGCATGAACAAATCATCTATTGCGATACCTATTGCGCCAATAATACTTATAATTACTTTTCAGACTAAAAAAATGCCTTCTCAATAAATTAAAAATTGATTAATTAAAAAGATTTTTTTACTTTAAACTGCCTTTCCTCGCTCCCGCCCCCAATGCCTGTAAATGCAATTGTAATGACATTCTCTGTACCGTAACGGTGTGATATTTTAATTTATCTAAATCTCGCGCATTACTAATAATAATCAGCCAGTCACACAATTCTCACACCTCGCAAAAACATTATGCGATTGATAATTGAAAGTCTCGCGTGAAGAAAGTGCAAGACAGTCGTTGCTAACTGATCCGAGGGAAGTGAAGTTCTATTATAAAAAATAACTTAGAGTAAGCGACGGGAGGAAAGGGGTTTTGTAAAAGGAGAGAGAGCTTAATATACTATGAATTGCTTGGACAATCGATCCTCATTTGCCCATCTCTATTTCGATATATAATGCAATTACGTGGCAATAGAGGGTAAGCTGTCACCTAACGAGCTTTCGTCGAGACTCCTCTTGCTTTCGCGTTGCCCTCTTTTCACGTCGTCGTGCAAAGTGCTTACCGTCGACGAACGAAGGAGGCCGATGAAAACGCGAATCCTCGAGACACGAGCGTTAAGCCTGCAACGAGTGGAAAATATGCGGAGCCCCGTACCACCCCCTTATCACATTATTCACCGAGACCCGACCGCGAGTCGTCCCAAAAGCAACGTTTCCAGACCCCGGCAAATCATCCGTTATGCCAGGCTATTGCGATTTAATAAGGCTCTAGCGCAAGGATTTTCCCCTTTAATTAACGCGAAATTCGTTATTTTTATTTAACCGTCGACCCGGCTGTCTTATAAAAAGGCAAGGGACACGCTCATAACGGGTTAGTCGACTCGTTACGATAATGCAGTCGGTACAGTGGGTAAGTCTTTCTCGGCGATTCGCGTATTGTATAATTGAAAGTTCAAATAAGTAGGCCAGAAATTTCGTTATATTCAGAAATATCAATGCGATAAAACATACGTCCATCTTTATAAAATTTCAGTTTTACGCCGTTTTGCCGATTGTTTATATGCAATAATATTCCATTAATACAGTAAAAATAGTGTAAAAAGATTGGCCTAATATTAAAATTATTAACTATTGTTGTGCGCTAGTTTTTAACCTTTTTCTCAACGATACTATGAAATGCTTACGATTATACCTAAATTATTATAATTAATCACATAATTGCTTAGCCATAATTGTCAATATTAAGCAGGTATGCTCATTGTCCTATAAATTTTCAGGTTTTCCTAATCATATATATTATTTGCCATTGTCGAAAAAGCATTTCGCAATATCACCAAAGTAATGCTGGATACTCGTACGCTAGACCAAAAATACCATTTGATTTCCCATCTCAACGAATTCCACAATCTTCACCACCCCCGCGTTATAATTATCCCGCTCAAACGCCACCACCACCACCACCACCACCACCACCGCCGCAATCACTATATCCTCAAATAAACTATAATTATCCTGCTCCCGCACAAGCGTCGCCACAACCTCCTCAGCCTCCTCCTGCAACATATAGTTATCCTTCGCCACCAGCACCACCACAATCACCGCCTCCGTCTGTATCAAATAGTTATGCTTCGCCACCAGTGCCACCACCGCCACCTCCCCCTCCTCACGCATACAGTTATCCTTGGCAACCGGCACCGCCACCGCCATCGCCTCGGTCATCTCTACCACCATCATCGTATCTTCCGCCACCTCGATCACCACGACCACCACCTCCATCTCCACCAACGTCACCACCGCCACCGCTTCCGTCATCTCTACCACCATCATCGTATCTTCCGCCACCTCGATCACCAGGACTACCTCCACCACCTCCACCACCTCCACCACCTTCACCACCGTCACCACCGTCACCACCTCCACCTCCACCTCCACTACCATCACCACCACCACCGTCACCACCTCCACCACCACCACCACCACCGTCGCCACCTCCACCTCCACCTCCACCTCCACCGCCATCACCACCACCATCTCCTCCAAAACAATCTTATCTACCACCTTTTATTACTCGAAACCAACCTTCATCCACAAGAGGTTCTACTCCTGCGCCAACTTATTTACCACCGTATACTGGAAAACAAATATATGCCACTTCGTCCAGTCCTGCCCTCGGCACTTATGGAACTACTACAGCTAGCTATTATAACCCAACAAGTAATTCGTCACATACATACAGTGGTACAGCATCTGCATCAGCGTCAGCATCTTCGAGCGCCGTAATATCATCGGCAATAAAATTCAGCCAGCCAATCGTAAGTTAAAATTTTACAATTAATTTAATAAGTACTAACCTGCCATTGGCAACTGCATAATCGTCCTTTTCAGCCATAATATCATCTTCAAGAATGCCAAATGACTAAGTGTCAATGACAAAACTTACTTTAATGTCTCGATCTAGCAGCTGAATTTCGACAGTGCTTTTATAGCGACACAGACTTTTATAACGACCATTCTTGCCGACTGAGCTCAAAACTTTCGAGTATATATATTTCCAAATTATCCTTTTTAATTCATAGAAGTTTCCAAAATATCTAACTATATTATTTCAAAAATGAGCTAAACAAAGTAGTTGGACGATTTTTTTTCGAATAGCTTTATCGACGATGCCTTATATGAAAACTGTAATACGCAAATACAATTTCACAATACAGTTAATAATATAGACTTTAATAACTTTCGCGACTTTAACGGAAACCGCAAGCTCTTCATCGTCACTAACTATCAGCAAATCAACTGGTTGGATTACAATATCAAAGCAAATATCAACAATGCCGAATAAAACTGCTTCGCCGTAAATTTATATTGTTTTGATTATCTTGATCTACAAATACGTCAGCATTTGCTCATTATATTATTTAATCTACGGATGAAGATTCAACGAAACTAACTTGGACATCGACAGAAGCGACCATCGCCAATTTGCTGCCAATGCATAATTATACATACCAAACTTATTTCATCGGCAACGACTACTTTAACATTATGTCAATCCATTCTATATAATGTCATCTTAATTGCTCTCGCTAGAATCGACGAATTCTCCACAAATTGCTTCTAACTATTCGTCATCATCATCATCATCATCATCATCATCATCATCATCGTCGTCGTCGTCGTCGTCGTCGTCGTCGTCGTCGTCGTCACCAACATTCTCCTCTCAGTCTCCAATTATACCTATACCTCTTCAAAATCAACTACCATTCAACTAAATATCCTCTCGATAAAGCACCACTCTATTATAATAATAATTATTGTATGGCGGCGGTGATGAATTCACACCATTATAAATATACAATAGCAATAACTAAAAGAGCAACGAATTTATCACTTTCGAGATCTATTTCATAATATGCAGCATACTTAGCCTCTCCAGCAGCACCTTTTCAAAGCATAATAACGCGATAGACTCTTCTTCCCAACTATTAATACAAATTACAAATTACTTATTACTTACCCTCTCCAATGTACTCATCGCCAATATAATTATGCATACTAATTATTTTCTCAATTTCGAATTCCAATATTACTATTATCAGAAACTTGCCAATAACTATTATACGACAATTAAATTATCTATTTTCAGCTATTTTAAATACTATATTTTTTTATTGCTAATATATCTTTTTAATATCAACCTATTACTTATGCATTAACAGAGTGACTCCGGTGAAGATTGAGACAGAATTATATATAAATTCTGTATTGTATCTGTATTGTAAGAGTAAAATTAGCATAAAAACATGCGCTTTTAACAGAATATTTTGAAATATTAAACGAAAAGCCTTTTTAACGGAACTCAATCCAAATGTATAACCGAACGTAAACAGAAAGATCATAAATGTCAAGAAATCACACGATACTTTTATTGCAAAATGTGTGTTTTATTTTCAAACTACATTCACACTAAGACATATTGTGTATAAGCTTTTTTAATCAATATTAATAATGTATTTATTGGCACAAAATGCGATGCTTACAAATATAATTTGAAATTCTAATTTGGAATTCAGAATGGATTTGAAAGAACAATTATTAACCGATAATCTGTAGTCATTAATAAATCTATCTTTATTAATTATATTCTTTATACAGAATTTATTTATTTTAAGTTAAGGCTAGTGTGACTACTATTCGTATCACAGCACTTAATTCAGGTAGACATTTGCAATGTCAGTCTCGACGAACTTAAAAATAAGCAGCTTCGCATTAACTGTACCGACACTATTACACGCTACATACAAAGAAAATTAAATACTAATATTGACAAAATTAAAGTAATCGTTGACGCATTGAAACGGAATAACTAAAATGAAATTGTCGAACGTTAAGGTAATTTTCACTAAGCCATGCCGTTAAAGCCAGGTACATGTTTAATAAACATGTGGCAAACGGGAAATAGTGGAAATTCGTGTTCGCGAAACATTAGCGAAATCTCAATCTATTAGCGCATGTCTAACAGACATTGATCGACGATATAATAATTATTACTCACAAACATTTTTTTTAGCTTCGTACGTTCCATCAAATATATATCGTACTCACGCTTCTTATTCTCTTTCCTTTTTTTTTTTTTTTTTTTTTTTTTTTTTTTTTAAATTTTTGTTGTTGCTGTTTTGTTTTTGTTTTTGCATTTGTTTTTAAAGTAAAATGTACACGTATGCATGTTTTGCCGCTATGTATGCAAACATACTCATTAACGGAAAGATAATGTATTTTTAACAAGATTTTCATGATGATATTGTTCGACAAATACGATACATATAATTCGGAGGCTATGAAATCCAATGAAATAGCCAATTTTCCATTGAAATTATACAGATTATGCATGAGGCGATATTAAATCAAACGAATTTTAACAAAAAATTAAGTTTTAAACGATAGAATTAAGTTTAGCAATTATTCCAACGAGCGAATACAACTAACGAATACGGCTCTTATGATTATTATGACAACGATGATGCTTATTATTACTGTTGTTGTTATTATGCATGTTTGCTTTTGTAAACAAGGCGTGATGTGAAAAATCACGTGTAATAACTTTTAACGAGTACAATTACACTGTTCACTCTTCGATTGCAGAAATAAATAACACTTCTTCTTGTATACTATGTAATATAAACATTCCACACTGAAGCATTCGCGCTTCGAAAAATCATTAATGCTAGAATGGATAAATTTCAGTCGTTCGAATACGGTTAATAGTATTTAATCAAAACAATAATGCTAAGCCGTTAACCTTCCGGTGAAAGCGCGTTCGAATATCCAAATGACACATTTTTAGTAGTACTGAATTTCTGAATTTTACCTGCCCGAACAGAGTATCAGATTATCGATATTCACCTTTCCCTTACAACTTCTCCCTCCCTTATTCTTTCAGAACGCGCAATTATTATTATAGAGACTATCACGCAAAAATATCACATCATCTCGGCATCCCTCTGTACAAGATCAACATTATAGAGACAACATATTAATTAGCTGAGATACACAGACTTTTCGAAGCTATAGAGAATGACATAGAAGCGAAAATATAAATAAACTTCGCCGTTCTGCGCAACTTTATCGAGGCACGACGACGAAACCGCATTCATTCATAAACATTACATCATCATAGGAAATAAACCGAACGAGATCATTACGAGATTAGCGCGTCGAAGCTATGGGGCCGCCCCCCTTGTAGTAGCGTGTCGAAAGTAAAGATCGAAGAAAAGTTATAGAGCTTGAAGAGCTTGAAAAGTTAAGCTTAAGTTTCCGAGCGCTGCCGAAGACTCAGGGGCCTCCGGTGAGACGGATCGCGCCTACCAACGTGGAGGACGAGCTTGCCCTTTTTAGCAGTCTTGAACACCTGGAGCGCCCGCGCGTGGGTCATCCCCTCGAGTGGCACGCCGTTTATCGCGAGCACTTCGTCCTCGACCTTAAGGACCGCCTGCTCGGCGGCCTGGCCGTTCGGCAGGATGTCTTTGATGAAGATGCCCATCTTGCCCTTGTTGCTGTCAGAGCCGCCGACGATCGTGAAGCCCAGCCGCTTCGAGCCACCTTTCTCCAAGGTCACGGTCAGTAGGTCCATCGATAGACTGGTGGCTCGACGGGAGCCCCCCGACGCCGTCGTTGCGCTGCGCTTGCGAATCTGGAGAGGGACGAGAGAGCGAATGTCGATTAGAGCCGGTATTGCCAACTTACCGATTTATCGCGATAACGTTACGATCCCGCGTTTCACATGCCAATAAGCCAATTTTGAGTGGCCAGTAGAAATGAGTCGTTAGACATTTTTGAAAGCGTCTAGTAAAGAATGCCATTCGATGGTTCACTAACCTGGAACTTTTTCATCCCAGTGACCTTGTGCTCCTCGTTATCCGAAAACTCCATATCCTGGATGGATACGGTACGCCCGTCCTTGGTAACGGCCCCTATAATTTGACAGGACTTGGAATGGTCCTGCTGTTCCTCTTTGGCAGCCTCCTTATCCTGATTGCCATCTATCGTTAGCTTGGTTGACATTGTCGCTTCCGTCGTTTCCTTCTCCTTCCTTCGGCTCGGCGTTACGTCATTATCGGTCGCCGGCGCGCTCTTCGGCATCACGTACGTGGCGAAGCTCCTCTCGCTCGACATATCGAACTTGTTCTCCAACGGGGAAGGGCCGAGGTTGCTAGGCCGAGGTCCCCAGACCTCGGAGTCGCTCTTCGAGCGAGTTATCTTCTCCTGCTCGTTGCCCCAGGTGTCGCTCAACTCTCCGTCAAAGAAGAACGTCGGCTCGCGAGCTATTTGCAGCTCCACGGCGCCGGCGCAGCTCTTCAGGGCTTTTCTCGCCTCGGCGAGTGACATGCCACGCAGCCTCCTACCCGAGACCCGCACGATCTCGTCACCCATCCGGAACAGCTTAGACTTGAGAGCCTCGCCCTGTTGGTCCATCGACGATATTACGTAATAAGGCCTCACCGCGTCGCATCGCTCCACGGAGATCCCGAGATTGCCGGGCTTATCGATTCGCACCCTCATCGTCTTGAGCTCGCGCCGAACGAGGGGCGGCTTTGCCGAGAGCAGCGACGTCGTCTTCCGCATCGTCCGGGACGACTCCGTATCGAACACCGTCCTTCTCGCCTTATTGCTCTTGGCCTCCACGGGCGTCTCGGCCTCCACGTCCGAGCGCGACCTCTTCGGATTGTAATACTGCAGCTGGCTCATTGCCAAGACGACCTTCGCCGCGGGCGGCGAGTCCTTGCACGGCGACGAGGCATTATCCAACAGATTGAGAACGCTCGCGTTCGAGTGCTTTCGGTGAACCTTGAGGCTCCTCTGCAGATTGCCGAGCTTCGTCCTCGGGGCGGTCCGCGAGCCCTCGTTACCGAACCTCACGGACGGCCGCTTCTTTTCCGGGGTGCGGTACTCAAGATGACTGCCCGAGCCCAATGTCGCCAACACTATTCCCGAGTCCGTCGACGACGGTATCCTCCTCCTCGGTAGGTCGCTCATACCCAGTGGCTCCTCCTCCGTCGTGACCAGTTCCCGGCTACTACCCGCCGCTCTCGAGCTCTCGTCGAGCGTCTCGCTATCGATTACGAGCGTACTGTCATTATCCTCCTCCCCGTCGTCGTGAAATACCTCCCCTCGTGCTATCGTGTTCGGGCCCCCTTCACCCTTCATCGGCGTGCTGTAGCCTAGAGAGAGATCTATGCCCTGGTAATCGGCCGATGTGATGGAGAAGCTACGTGGCTTGTGCTCGGGAGCCATGGCCGACTTTTCGCTATCGGGCGAATCGGCGCCGGCCCGCGTGCTGTCCGAGTCGTAGCCGCTCTCGTCGCAAGCCAATTTCAAATTGTTCATGAGATCCTCGAGGCCGCTCAAAACGCACGATTTCACTGGCTCCACTCCTCTGCAAAATCAATGCCAAACCCTGCAGTTGGTCGTTTAGAGCGGAGGCCGCGCGCTAATATCCCAAGCAATTTTTTTCGACTTTCGACTTTGCGCGCCAATGTGACCTTGGCGAGTTTAGTCGCCATTACAAACATTACACTATTGGCGAGCCATGGAGCTGGATGGAGGTTGTTGTGTATAGAGTCCATTGGAATCGCGGGGGTGTACGCGATTATAGTTACAAAGTGGGAAGGGGTTGGGGGGAGGGGGGGGGAGGGGTTTAAGATGATGACGTAGATTAAAAGAAAGGCGCACCTCTCGTTGCTGTTGCTGCTGTCGTTGAAGAGATTGCGCTTGACCCGGTCGACCGGCGATTGGTTGGAGCTCGTCGACGAGCCGCTAGTATTGAACTCGTCGTTGGAATCGTCGTCGTTGGAATCGTCTTCGTCGTCGTCGCTGAGTCGCCGCTGTCTGCGGTGCATTTCGGGGTGTCCGCACTTCACCGCGGGCCCATCGTCGATCGCTCGCTTCGCTAACGCGTTGCCCTCCAGCGTCTTCAGGGCCACCTGATTCTCGAGGAAGTAGTCGAGCACGCGACTCTGATGCTCAAGGTCCTGGATACTCCGGCTTATCTGCCATCGCTTACTAGCGAGCTCCGCGAGGATACCGCCGCCGCGCACTCGCGGCTTCAGCGTTCCCTCGCTCAAGGACTTCTCAAGGCGCTGGGACTCATGGGGATCTACCGCAGGGGCCAGCGCCGCCCCCTCGTCCTCCTCCTCAACCGCGACCACCTCCGCTTCCTCCTCCTTGATTATGCAGGACGACTTTTTGCTAATGCGTTCGGACGAGGACTTGAAGAGGTTGCGCAGGGACTCCACGCGACTGATGCGCTTCGGCTTCGCCGTGTCCACCAGGATCAACGATGGCGTTGGCCTCTTCTCGATCTAGCCGTACCAATAGCAAAGACGAACATTAGGTTGGGAAAGCGAAATGGATAAGGCCACCCAATGGCTGGCTCATTGAACCGACGATGGCCGATTTTGGCGGAGAACTTATCGGGCGAATTAAGATCGTTTACCTTTTTGCCGTCCTCCAATGTGTCGCCACAGCTTTTTCTGTGCGGACTCCAGCGACGCCTTCTACTGGAAACGGATAGCAATTCCGAGCTGTCGGCACGTTTCAGCTGCTCCCATTTCTGGCCAACTTTTCTGCTCCATGTTGTGAGACCTGTTTTAGTAGTGAATTTTCTTTGTTAAATCGTAGTAAAATCGTAGTAAAATAGTCAAGTAGTAAAACAGTATAGTAAAATCGTCGCTTAGTCAACGGTGAAAATTACGAATAATTACGTCGCGACACGTAATAATTATAAATTTATGAGGAAGGATATGGAATTAGGAGCGATAGAGTGAAAAAACGTCAATCAGCGATAGCTAATACATTAATGATACTTGCTTTTTGCGGAAAATGACGAAGGCGTCGATTGTTGCTGCTGTTTCGCTGTCTCCTCTTTCCTCTTGGGCGTCCTAAGCACCGTTACGGGAGACGCCTTCGGCTCCTTATCAGCGATCGTCCTGGGCATTTCTCTACCTCGACTGGACACATCCTGGTTGATAGCTGTGGCTGATACCAGCTCCGGACTCTGGTCCAGAGCACGTCGCTTAAATAGCCGCATCGTTCTCTTATCTGCAATGAGAGAAAAATAAGGTCAGGAGATTGATCGTCGAGCGACTGATCGTAAGTCCGCGAGATGAGCGAGATTTTTCCGACCGAGGGAACAGGTAAAATTAGCTTGACTGTACCTGCGTGTGAGTGGCGCCAGCATTCGTTACATAATTTTGAAATTCAGAAGTTAATTCGAGCGTATGCGTGTTAAATATAGAAGCGAATTGGAGGCAGAAGAGTAGCACATCACCACGAGCGTAGCGAAGGTGCAAAAACATCGAATAAGAAAAAGAATAAAAAGATTACTAGTCGAAGATTGGTGAAAAGAAGAAGGTAATATCACGGGTCGGGCTGCCGTAAGCGGAAACGCCAATAACTTTCTCTCTCTCTCTCTCTCTCTCTCTCTCTCTCTCACTGATACATGTATCGGCCTTTTTGCTGCTTTGTTCTCTCATTCGATACTTGCCCCCTCCACTCTTCGTTCGCCAATCTTTTTCCATTTCATTACTCGACCTTTAAATGCCGCCCTTTGCTATCCTCTCCGTTTATGCTTGTTAATGCGTAAAAATGCATTATAATATAATAGCATTGCGCACTGTAATTACAGGCCCTCCTAAAGAATTTGCCGATGCATTATATATATATATATATATATATATATATATATATATATATATAAATCTAGAAAATAATCAGTTACGTTTGTATTGCCGAGGCTGTGCCGTAAACAATTTAACCAGCTCCCAATCTTATTGTTACGACAATGGAGAAAGTTTGCCCTTCCACACGAACTTTTCGCGGCAATATTGTTCAATTATAAATGGTACGGCCAATAAGAGTCGCGATTAAATGTGGATCGAAACAGTACACTCGTAGATTTGCCGATTATGCGACTTATTAATTACATTTCGACGTTGCGTAAATACCAAACAAAAGGAAGGTCAGCGGTACGATAATGTACCCACGGGTATAAATCAACGGAAACAAAGCGGAAAAGCGTGAGCGCGGATTTTCGTAACCGGCATAATGAGATTTCCGACAATACGCACATCTACAGGCAGACGTTATAAATATAATCGACCCTCCCTCCCGTGGCCCTCACCATCGGCCGTCTTTCTTTTACTTTCGCGATCATCCTATTAGTTAAGGATCTCAAGCGAGAAAGAACGAGGGTTGGCTGGCCGGACGGAACTTCTACCTCGGCTTTTACGAGCGACCTGTCTCCGAAGACCCGCAATATTGGCAACGCAACAATGACGGCGACAGAGACGGCGACATTACAGAAGGCGCGATCAACGTGCATCGTAGCGTTGCGTTCTCGAGGCTTTATCATGTTATAATGTCCAACGCTTTTGTCGCCGTCAAGAGAGGCGATAAGCCAGTCCAAGTTCATTTAACGAAGAAAGGTCTCGCTCGTGGTAATGGTGCGACCTAGGTCTCTCCCCTCTTTCATCTCATTACATCGATTAGCCAATGCTAAATCTCTAAGGGATATCATTGGCTTCGTAATATGGCGCTGCCTTCCTTCAATGTCTCTCGTCGCGTTACGACTTGTTGCATCGCATGTAGAGAAATGCATTACTTAATATTAATGAATGCGTGCGTTATCCTTTGACTCCCTGTAATTGCATCGAGAGCAAAGTGGATATCATTCCAAATAAGCGTTGGCAATGGCTCGGGCCTCTTTCAGCGCCGAGACGACGTAATTCATTCGCGTCTGCCTGGGAGGCGAGGGGCCGAATGAGAAACGAGGCGTTCGCGAGAAATAAAGGACGAGAGAGATAGAGAGAGATAGAGAGAGAGAGAGAGAGAGAGAGAGAGAGACAGAGAGAGAGAGAGAGAGAGTACGAGAGAGAACGACGCGATGACGAGGACGATGACGAAACAGTGTATTTTTACGCTGCATATTGAAAAAGTGGTGCAACACGCATAATACAGATTTGCAAGAACGCCTCTCCTTGATCCGGACAGACGACAGACCAGGCCAAAGTCGTCGTCGTCGTCATGTTGTCGCGCTTTCCTTCTGCGGCAAGCTCGCCTTAAGAAATCTCTCGTCGTTCTCGTTTATCGGCGCCCCCTCTGCGCAAGGACAGCCAACCTGTTCCACAGCCGCGCGGAAAACTCGAGAGCAGAAAAATCGTTTAATTCCGTCGTTTGCAGGACGAGCGGGTAAATTTTTTTACCAAATATTTGCCCCAATCCTGATATGCGAATGACGATCTTCACTAGCTAAACCCCCTTCCACCCACCCTTTGGCGATACTCCGGTGATATTGTTGTTTGGTTCTTTAATGAATGTGACGAATGAAGTTAATAATACGTTGTTTGGAGTTTTGCAAGCCAATTTCACGGCGCGAGCAATATTAACGCGAAGCTTTCACAACTTTGTCATTAATAATAATTGCGAGGCTTGGATTATGGGTAGGTAGCCGCGTATAACCGTACGTCTCTCCTCTTCACCTTCTTTTTTTTCTTCTTATGAAAGTACGAATGAAAGAGTATTTTTATGAAAATAGACAATGAAGAAATGGAGTGAGACGCGTGACGGGCCAGGCGATATAGGCGACCATTGAAAAAAATCCGGTTATTGAGCAATTGGCAGTCGATCGTAGCCACGACCTACATCAATAAGGCGACAGCTCGTTGGCTCTGTTGCGTAGCGCCAGACTAAGATTTTGCAAATTGCCGGTCGTCGGCCGTTCGTCGGGGGACCGATTGAGAAAAATCGCCTGATCAAACGTCGTTAAAAGCGCCGATCGCGAGGAGTAGGAGGAGGGGAAGGAGGAGGAAACGAGGATAATGCACGGGGCGGGGAGAGAGCGTTAGTCGCTGCCACGAGACGATAAACGTCGCCACGGTTCTCGCATTACATACCCACGTTTTTCAATGTTTTTTAACGTCACAGGACCCGGCCGCGGGAGATCGTAAATTTTTCCCCCGTCGGCAAGAACAAAACCAACGCGATCGCAAGCCCGGATGTCTGCGTCCTCGGCATTAGCGACGTGAAGAAAGAGCTCGAATCGAAGGAGCCGCGAGGCGGGTGGTGCGAGGCCCGGTTGGCGGGGGGGGGGTGCGGGATGCGGAGGCGCACGTAAGAAATCGCGTGCCTACGTAATTGCCGTAGAAGGGCATGTCCGAGGGCAGCTCGAGCTTTGTTCGCTTGTGGTGAAAGCCTAAAGCGGTGCAAAGCTCCTCGATCGCGCCGATTTTTCCCGAAGATATAGCAAGGCTCGACTGAGGCCGTCCACTCCCTCACTTTCCAATGCGGTTATTCCGCCGACTGGATATTCAGTCGGGCCAAGAGAAAAAAATCTACTAATGCGATGGTAATGGTTAGTGGTATTGCTGTGAAGGACGACGATTCGCGCGTTGTTTGTTTCGTGATGTTCGACAGACAGGCCTCCGCCCATCCTGATGGGAAAGTGCGCAAACAATGTGACGTGCGAGCCGTTCACCTTTACCCAGTCGTCTTTTCAAAACAACGTGATTGTTATTTTGGGATATGCGAGCGAGCCTCTCACGCTTCTGGCGGAAACTATAACGAAGCGACGGGGGCATTTAAAGAGCCGAAGGTGTCACGCGTCGCGACGCCTCACAACTTCGTAGAAGGAAGAGGGGTGAGGTGGTATAGTGATGCGCCACTCTGTGAGAAAAAGTAAAAGTTGCACGTACGGACGTAGAGGGATAAAGGAAGCAGGGCCACGTGTACTCGGGCCCAAAGGTGTTTTCGTGGAGATGAAAGGAGATGGGAGAGTGAGGGAGAGAGCGTAAAGCAAAAGCGAGAATGAGACGAGACGTGCGCCTGGGGACTCCTCCACTGCTCATCCTCCTCCTCATTGATTTCCCACTACGATGCGCAACACGTGGCCCAGGAGCAGCTGCGAAGACCCTCTTCCGCACGAGAAACTGTCTGATCGCCTTTCGTCTCTCAGACTTAAATTGACTAGCCGCCTGTGCATCGCTTCCTTTTTCTGGTTGCCGTCAATTTTTAAAGGCCCCTCCATCCCGCCTGACCCACGGCGCTACGCACTCCATGACTATGGAGCTGCTTTTTTCCCACAGCGATAATGTGAAATTTATGGGAGCGAGCAGCGCGATCGACAGTTCCACGGCTTTTTTTTTTTTTTTTTTTTTTTTTTCTATACGTCCGGATTTAAATTACAGTCCGACGTCAATTATAATCACGATAATCTATGTGTATTGAGGATGATGTAGGGCATTCGAGTCAACTTTCAAATACCTAGAGATATTTATGCACGTTCACAAGTTCATCGTTTCAATGACATTTAAGGACGCGGGAGGTATAGAGGGATGAGACGTATAAGCGCCCTACCATACTTTCGATACTATGTACTATCTCATTGCCACAATTATTTAAATTCCAAAAAGCACATATCTCGCCAGCCAAAATATTTGCAATAGCGAGAAAATGTTTTTACTCAATTAACTGATCGATCAAATGCAGATGCTTAGAAAGTTTATTTCCACCGTGCGTTCGGTCTCACGTGCTCGCTCGATTGTCCAACCATTACAGGTGTTCTCGATAAAAAAAAAAAATAAAAAATAATATTAATAATATTAATAATAATAATAATAATAATAATAATAATAATAATAATAAATAAAATTACTATATAAAATAACACTTGCAGGGTAAAAGTTTCGGTAAAAGTAAGGTAATTATTATGAGCTCGGTAATACGCGTGGCACAGATATTTGTCGAATTTCAATTCTAGCAGCTTTCATGAATGAAGTCGCTGCCGATAGGAGTCAGACCGAATCAGAGCGGCAACGCAATTTTCGGAAAACGAAAGTCGAGTCGCGACCCAATTTATTTACATAGTGCGCCTGCCTCGCCGCATCCTCGCAGATTCGCTGCCGTTCTAAGAAAATCCTCGTAGCGCGCAATCGGTCGACCTCTGTGCTCGATGTCTCGTAAAACAATTACAATTACAATGTCACGGGAGCTAATGCATCGCGAGTCCTAGAGAGTCCATTGGCTTTTCCGGGAAGTAGTCGTGAGATGGGACGATTAGTCGGCCGACAATATCTGGTCGCAGGTGAAAATATATGCCGGTTTTCTTTCTCTATAGCTATCTCTGCGCCTATCTATATCTCCATCTAAGGTGTGCGCGCGTGTGCGGCACTTAGCCCAGGTTAAAAATTAATCTAAAGAACAATCGCACGTTAATTTTTCCCGAAGCACGCCGGAATATATCGTCGAGGCTTCATAAATGTACCTTTATCAATGGCACGCAAGGACAATCGTGTATATAAGACAAAACGGTTTAACAGTGGACGTCCTACTAATTGCACGATTGTTCCGTAAAAACGGGCCTCAATGGTCTTTATACTTCCCCACGTAACGTAAACATTATGATGAATTTTGTGTCATTCGTGTTATGCGTGCGCGCGTGTGTATACGACTATCTCGTCACGGTCAAATCACTAAGTCACATGTGATATACTGCGAGCATACATCGTCATACGTTCCTCTCAAGCCTTGCCTCGTCGACTACGAGCTATCGCTGTGGAAGCTGCACATATTGATTAGAAATTGCTCAAAAACATTGTTAATCTCCTGTCAATGTACAGCGCCAGTTGCATCGTAGTTGAATAAGGAACGAAAGAACAAAACGAAAGAATGAATTGGTGATGGTTTGGGGGGGAGGGGGGGGGGGAAGTAAGGAAGAGAACGGCCTATGAACGAATTCACCATCTTTGGCTAAGGATAGATCCTGAAAATCCGTAAGGAAGCCAAGCGAGAGCAAATACATTTGCCGTCAGCGAGAAGCACGATAATGGAACATTGGCTTGTGGACATACAATGCGGAACAAGGACGAAATAAAGAAAAAAGAAAGAAAAAACGGTGGCGCACATAAAAGTACGTCGACTATGGGCCTGAAAGAAGCGAGGGAAGAAGAACGGTGGCACTGGGGTAGCGTGGGAGCGAAGCCCGGGGGACCTGCGAGAGGCCCTGGGAAGCGTCGACATCTGCCGCACGACGCTTTCGGGTCCGAAGAGGCCGGCTCACCCTTCTCTCGACAGCCGCGCGCCGGCAGGTATGGGGGAATGAGGAAGAGGGTCGTGGATCGGGGGGGGGGAGCCGCGTGGCGTCGGCTCCATCGATTTTGCGCCGAAGGTAAAGGGTAACGCGGGACGCTGGCCGCCCCATTGTCTTACTACGACTTGGTCGGGCCCCAACGTATCATCGCCGCACCTCGGATTTTCTCGAGATGCGAGCTTCGTGGAAGCATCACCGCTGTAACGGGAAGCTTCGTAGTAAGGGAAAGGGCGGAGAAGCTTAGGCCTTGGGCCCGGTCGGATTTATAATTACCGGGAAATGATGGCCTGAATTTCCGACCGTTCGAGTGACACGTGTCGGGAACTGGGGAAGGACGAGGTCCAAGTGGCACCTAGATCCATCGAGTGCGCATCCAGTGCGTATTTAGCTTTAACGCCTAGGCACATTTCAACGAATCTGGCGCGATGCCGTGCTATTTTTACAGCCCGATCTCTCGCATATGCAGGCAATGTGTTTCCACGAATTTACGATTTAAGTCCGATCGCAGGAAATTCGGCTTGGACAAACGCGCCTGCGCTTACACGTTTACACGGCCGCCCGGCCCTGGTCGCGTGCACCCGTCGCAGAAATCGGCCCCCGGGGAAATAATGATCGCGCGCGGCCGTAATCTATGCTATCCAGGGATGTCGCGTCCGAGTAGGGGCCCACAGTACCCGGGTACCGGTAAGCAATCGGGCGTGCGCGCGTTTTATCGGGCGAAAAATCTTGGGACTGGCCTCGGACGGACTCACCGCAGCTCGGGTTCGTTGGCCGACTCGACTCTCGGCACTCTTCATCTATCCCACTCGGTCGCTCGCTCGCTCGCTCAATCTCACTCACTCTCTCTCTCTCTCTCTCTCTCTCTCTCTCTCTCTCTCTCTCTGTCGCTAGCGCACAAAAGCTCCCGAAAAATCGCTCGACGGGCCATGAGTTGCAATTCTCAGCAATGAGATTTTGGTTGGTGGACTTTGCGATTCTAAGGCAATCAACCGCGCTCCGCTGAGCCTTCGATAGAGCAGTGAGAGTAAGACAGAGGTAGATAGATAGAGAAAGATAGATAGAGAGAGAGAGAGAGAGAGAGAGAGAGAAAGATTGGGAGAGCGTCGGTTTTGCGTGTAGGATAAAAAGGTTCGCGATAATGGGACTCGCGGGTCGATTGTATATAACGGGGGAACATTGGCCGGATTTTCATTCCGATTGCTACGCAATAGTTAAACGCGAGTCGAGCAGTAAATTACAAATAATTCGAAAACAAATACAAAGTAATAAATACAAAATAATAAAGTTTTATTATCAGCTAGGTGGAGAGCGAGACTCGAGCGCTTTAGTAGCTCGAATAAAAGGAATTACGATTCCCCGAGCGAATGTTGACGGAATCACAAAGCAAAAGTTTACAGCTCGATTTTAAAACTGGCCGATGCCCTCTCAGCGTCTCGTTCAGTCCCCGACTTCGCAGCTCCCACCTTTTGTCCCGGAGCACAAAGTTAACATATTGAGCGCAGAAGGCCATCGCCGCTCATACGACGCACGTGTGACTTCTTATTCACTTTGGCATTTTAGGGAAAGCAACGAGGGCAAAGGTCAATTGGCGATACTTCATTTCGACTCGGAGAATTAAATCGAAACCATTCTATCGTCGTTCAAATGCACGTGCCCTCTCCCTCTAACTCCCAACTCGATTTAATACATGGTAGAAGAGGGGCGGCCATAAAAGTTTCGCGCGTAGCGTAAGTGACATAAATCCGTAAAAACCAAGGCGCTGTCTTAGCTGCGGGGGGTCATAATTCCGTCTCGAGTACCTCGGGCTGTGGAAGCCGGCTTCGTAGAAGTGGGGCCGGTTCGCAGGGAGGCCGTATTATGCTAAGATATTCGCGCGTCTGCGAACGGCATGGGAAAGCGGAAAATCCGAAAATGATGGGGACCCACCGCTTGAATATATTATTTGGATATACAATGCCGGGGAAAGAGAGAGGGTACAGTCGGAATATGAAACCAGGATTGAGAAAAGATGGGAGCAAAGTGTAACAAGGAGAGACCTCAGGTAATTTGGTGTTCTCGTTTTATCTCTCTCTCTCTCTCTCTCTCTCTATCTCTATCTCTCTCTCTCTCTCTCTCACTCTCACACTCTCTCCGTCTCTCTAGCTCGTTCCCTTCATTTTCAACGCTCGTTGCAGGCAAAAGAGAGTAATAAAGCGGTAAATGACAGGGCCCTATGTTTCAACTATTATGAGATGCCATGGAAATACCGACAATAAACAGCGCAGAATATCGCGCTACCATAAGATACCTTAAGCTCTGTCGTATATATGCGTATCTATAAATATAGATTGATATAGGATAATAGATAGCGATATAAGGCTTCCAATTGTCTACGTTATAATATTTGAAAAAGCGGCAAATTGTAGGACTTTTTTGGTTTTATGTGCTTGACCCACAGATGGGAAAACCGTATTATAGCATTTTGTAAAAATATTTAATTATACATTGTAGCGAGGTAAATATATTAAATTATATAGTTGGAAAATGCGGCAGTGTCATAATACGTAAATTAACAATGTGTATTGGGAATCCGGTCGACACTTTTGAGCAAGTGTGAAATAAAATAATTAATGTAACACCAGCACTTGGTTATAATTTACAATATGCTGAAAAATATTGGATATTTTTGAGAATATTGAAATATTCCATATAGGGGTATGATCGCACAAATTAATAATGCCTTATAAATCAACCAAATAGTTAAATGTATTTAAGACTAAATACTTAAAATAAAGCTATATACACAAAAAGAAAAAGAAAAAAAAAAAAGAAAAAAAAGAAAGAAAAGAAGAAAAGAAAAGAAAAGAAAAAAAAGGCCTCTATAGAAGGAAACAGATTTTCCAGACTTTAGTTGGGGGTCAAGAAAATAATATAAACATCGTCGCGTAAACATAAACTGCGCTTGGTCGGCTACGATATGGTAATTCCGCTGCGACAGATTACGTCGAAGAAATTCGACGATAAAAAAAAAATGCCGAATTTCAATATAAATTAAAAAAGTAAAAGCGAAATATTAATTCGAATGGTGTGATTGGCAAGATAAAGATGTCTCGCCAATTTTAAAAACGCGGGGTAATTAAAGATGGCATACTTAGGCAGCCTCTCGCCACGGGCACATGCCTCCTGCCTTCTGCCTCCTAGTCGTCGTCGAAGTCGTAGTCGCAGTCCTCGCCTAGGTATCGATGACCGGTCACGGGGGTAAATGGAAACTAGCCGGCCGAAGAAGCGCTATCACGGTCCGAAGCGCCTTGATTGGAACAAGCACCGGTGCCACAACTAAAGCTTCACCCGCTAAAAGAAAAATCACGAGCTCAACAACGCCGCACATCCACACTCTGTCGCTTCTAACTTCGCACTGACTCGGGTGCCGCCTTGGATCTCCCCTGTACGCGCTCACTGCTGCGGTGCTGCGCCGGCGTTTTGATCGTCTCCGTGTACGAGGAGAAGGAGGAGGATGAGGAGGAGGAGAAGGAAAACTAGAAGGAGGGGCGCCGGCCGCCGCCGGTGGGGGCGCGCACTACACGTCCTGGAGGCAACCACCGGCTGCGCCCTCGACTCGGCCGATTTCGGCCATTGCTAATGGAGCGATTCTTGAGCGGCCGATAGATGATCGGGTTGGATCGTTAAAGGGCGGGGGAGGGGGAGGGGGGAGGGGGAGGTGGAGGGGGGAGGGAGTATGGGTATGATGGGATGACGAGGTAAACGACAATATTGATTTCGGTGCCATTTGTCGTGTTCGAGGATCATAATGAGGATCGATGCACCGGGGCTGCTCACCCAAGCCTTTGTGATATTAAAAAGTCCAAATCTCCGAATAACATAGCGTAATGATGATACGTGTAATGGTAGATTTTACGTACGCTAATTGTGTATGGCGGGAATTGTCTTATCCTACTCGCGGGGGATATTCTCGTAGATAGCAGTTAAATGGACAATATTGAAAGTCCATTCGATAATCGATTTTAAAATAATATTTCACTCAGTTATTGCAATTTGCAGTAGATAATATAATAATATAATAAATTCGTCATATTGACGAAGTACATATTGACCGAGTGGTGCGTTTTCATAAATAATGCCCTAGTCTTGAATATATATAGCGTGCAGTATATTTTTTGCTTCCTCGTTGTTGTATCTTGGCCTTACCATCGAAAAAGTAATTTAGATATCAATGGCCATGCCAATTTTATTTATAAATAAATAGATACGGCCCTGGAATAGGGAAGCCCGATGCTTAATGCTCTAACACACTGTGCACAGGAGGAAGAGACTGTAAACGTAAAGGTTCAATGGTCTTGCCTCTCTCTTTTGCTTTCTCTCTCACTGTGTCCTCTCTCTCTCTCTCTCTCTCTTACGTGCGCGTGCACGCACAAACACAAACACACGCGCGCGCGCGCGACGATCGTGGACCGAGGAGGCAAGAAAGCGAAGAAGAAGAAATGGGAGTAGACGGCGAGGGGAAGAGTGATAGGTGGCAAGGGAAGAAGTCTCTTCTGCCTTTCCAGTAAAACAACAGTAGTACTTTGCGATTTCACATTCTAAGGTTTTATTGCGAAGCCCAACCGAGCTTAATCGCGTTTCAAACTTCTAGGACGTGGCAGTACTCCCGACTGTTCCTTCTTCCTTTCGTACCCTTTGTTTATCCTTTCCTATCCACATAGTCTATCTTTTTTTTTCTTTTCCTTTCTTTGTCCTTTTTTTTCTTTTTTTTTTTTGTTTTAATTTTCATCATCGTGCACTAATTTTTTGTAATCTTCTTTATCTAAAATAGGTGGATAATTGAGCATTTCTTGATGTATTTCTTAATGTATTTCTTGCTACCATCTGTTTCGTCCCTGTACTTTTCACGGAAAACGGCGGAAAGCGAGCTCTACTTATTATTAGATACAGCTTTTATTTGCAGTTTTCTTCAACGAATTGAGGAAAAAATCAACTATTACAATTATCATGTCCGCATCCGATCCTAAGAATTTAAAATTTGTTGCTACTACGTACTCCCGATCTATTGTACAAGTCAGAAAATATTACCTTTTATTTTCCTAATTTTACACAGTTTTTAATGCCGTCCTTTACCATGCAATTATTTATATAAATATTGTTTATTTAAATAAATTTATATTAATAGAGCATACAAATACTTTGCAAAAATAATGAAACATCGTTTCATAATTTATTTTTAAAATGAATTTATGTGAAATGGAATGAACTGTAAATTAAGCTTAAGCTTACCCCCATAGATTCTTAGGAATTATAAAACGATATGAACAAAATATGTGCACACTAAATAAATATTAAAATACTAATTTTTTTTATTAAATAATGAGAATTAAAATTAGAAAACTTCTTATTTAAATTCTCTAATCGCAGTGAATAGACTTTGTACTACAAAATCAAGGGCTTATGCTTGGAAAAGGCGTTACAGAAACATTAAATTTTTTCATCACCTGAAATAGAATGAACATATTTTTAAAATAGAAAATAATTCAATTTAGATTTTAAAATGTATCATTTATCCATCGCTTTTTTCATTCTTATTTATAGGCATAATAAAATTTGTAAATAAATCTAAATGAACGAGACCATCTCGGGTATATCATGTGACAAATAATTATTTATGCAAAATTATTATTATTATTATATTATTTTAAACGTTATTCCATTATCTATTTTATTTTATTGATTTAATAATATGAAATTCAAATATCTAATATTAATCTATTTTCACCTAAAATTTCTTATGGCATTTTAACATACATCATAGGAACTACTTGTCAAAATACGAAATTTTTTTTGGTCAAATTTAAATTCACTATTACGTCTTTGTTGCTCATCGCTTTTACGTATAAATATAATTGTTGCTTTCAAAATTTAAGAGCAAAAAAATTTTTCTTTTGTTACATTGATAATGCAGATTCAAAATATAATAATTACCTTCGTGCGCATGTAACTGCATACTGAAATGTTAAACTCAAGGGACAGTATTTTTTTTTTTTTATTTTTTTCTTTTTTTTTTATATTTCATGGAAACATTTTCTAGCCTACACAATATAAAATAATTAATGCAATTTCTCAACTGAGTATCATAGTAGTTTGCCACAATTACATTCATTCGAATTAAGAGAAAGTTATGTTTAACAAAGAGCACCTTAGCAACGAAATATTTGTGCGTAAAACTTCAATCCATACAATATATTATTCGAAAGATTATCGATTCGAAAGATCGTCTAGATAATCGGCCAAATGAAATTGGATCAAATTCCACGCTTCGTTAAGTTACCTAATGATGATACTTAATCAAGATTATTTTACGAAATTATACATACAGCTATAATGATAATCCGAGAGGAGGTAGAATTACATTGAAATTATTCGACGGCTAAAAGAAAATTTTCAATTATAAATATCAATTAATAAAATAGTATTACATTTCAATCTGCTTTTCCCTCGTAAGCATTAACTCTTCTCGCCATCTCTCCGCCGCCGCCGCCCGCCCCCTTCCCCACCCTAACAACAACCAACCCCAACAACAACCATCATCCGCCACTACACTATGCCCAACACACAGACGCACATACCACCACCACCGCCATCGTTCCATCTTCCAAACCAACCAATCCTTTCATTCAAAATCTCGATGGCTGTCCGTAAGATCAGCTCGCACGCTGAAACTGTACACTTATTGCATCTTGTGAAACGGCAAATAAACTAGAAAATTTAGCGTTGGCTATTAACAGTGGAGAATCTCGGCGGAGCTTTAATATTCGCGCGCACGGTCGCGCACCCATTAGCGTATGTACGTGTTGCATAACACTAGGATGGAGAGTGAATAACGAGGCGATCATTACCTTAATCAGCCTCATCTAGGGTAAAAAGTCGGCTAGACCAAGCGCGTGTAAAAAGCAACTACGAGCAACTTCCTCGGTCCAGGTAATTGTCGATCAGCGCGTCAAAGCTTATCGGATCCCGATTAATTTCCCGATTAAATTCTCCGGCTCGGATGGATGCGCGTGTGTGCGTGCGCGCAATTCTCATTTATTGCGCGGCCCACGTATCGGACGCTTAAGGCTCCTTTCACAACGGCGGGACTCGGCGGGAATCGCGAGAGGAATCGCCGGGAGGTTAAGGCAGAAAAATGTACGCGCGTCTTTCTAACCTAATTCCTGGTGCACTAGCCTAGTGGGTAATCTCCGTGCTTCGTAATTTGCAGCTGCATCCATAAAGCTGCAGGACGCAAAGTTCCCCGTTACTAGCGTCGCTCCACGTTACCCGATTCGTACCTAACGACCTTTTTCACCTCGCTGATAAATCAACCACTAAAATGAACTTTTATCGACGATCGTAATGGCTGGCCGGCGGAGTCCTGGCCAACCGAAACATTAATAACGGCGCTGGTCATTTTTCATTTTGGAAAAGTAGAAAGCAGCGACGCTGAGTCAAGTGAAATTAAAGCATATCGAGAGATTTTTATTTCCTTCAAAAGACAAGCAGCGCGGCCGCCCGATTTCTATTCTTATATATTATTCGGCCCACTATTTCTTCTACCAGACACTCCGGCATTCAATGGCCGAGGTGCACATTGTTGTGCAAAAGCCCTAAGATCGCTGTCCCGCGATATGCGGTGTGGGTTTGCGGGCATTATTATCTGCATCTCTTCGTGCGCGCATGTGCGTAGTAAATCGCAGTATGGGCGTTTTGGAAAAATACGACGATCCCGAGAACTCGCGATTTTCAAATGATGAAGACGACGAAGACGACGAAGACGAAGAAGAAGTTCGTCTTTGCATTGTTGGTTGAACGACCAGCTTTACATAAGCAAAAGCGATCTTTAATTTCGGTAAAAATACTTCTTTCCTTTACGGCTCCATGCATGTTGTATTGAAAGAACTAAAAAAAGAGAAAATATCGTAACAACCAATGCCCGCATATGACTGTCTGTGTGTGCTTGTGTGTGCTTGTGTGTGTTCTAACAACCAATGCCCGCATATGACTGTCTGTGTGTGCTTGTGTGCGCTTGTGTGTGTTCAAGTGTGTTCGAGTGTGTTCGAGTGTGTTCGAGTGTGTTTGTATTTGAGTGTGTTCGAGTGTGTTCGAGTGTGTTTGTTGTGTGCGTGCGTGCGTGCGTGCGCG